TGAAGAAGAAGAAGAAGAAGAAGAAGAAGAAGAAGAAGAAAGTAGATGACAAAGTATAGTGAAAGTAAAAACAAAAATTATAGATAAACTTAAACTTGAGAAACCTTAGAAAGGAAATGAGAAATATGTGCTTCGAGCTTGTTACACTGTCGTTTAACGTAGCAAGTTTTGGGATCCTGTAGTTACGATGGTACCACCTGCCACTTAAGGGAAAGCTTGAATTTACACAAGAGCCGTTCGACGTTTGAGTGAAACGGAGGCGTCGAGATCTCAGCAGATCTCGGTTTACCTCGAAATCGCAACGGTTTGAGTCGAGTTACCGTTCCGGGCTTTGATCTTCGAACTTTATAAGTCGCATGAGAGAGAGAGAGAGAGAGAGAGAGAGAGAGAGTATCTCGTTCCTACAACAGCAATTGATTGGGCAAACTTTCCTCCGAGTTTCCGGATGCTCGGAGTCGCTTGTAAACTTCCTTTCGATCTTACTTCAAGATAAACGGACGCGCGTACCTAATCCTTAGTTTTCATGAACAAACAAACATGATAATAAATAAGCGAGAAAATAATTATACAATGAATTCTCTCTCTCTCTCTCTCTCTCTCTCTCTCTCTCTATCTATCTCTCTTTTCACTCTTTCTCTCTCTTTTTCTTTTCTTTTTTTTTTCTTTTTTTGAAACACTATAGAAGCACGTTAGATATCGTGCTCTATTAAGATCCGTCAAATCCATGGCAGAGCGATTAGGAAGAGGCCTCCGGTCATGGCACGCGCGTCAAATAAATCTGGGATCAATAAATTAACGGCCGGTTAAAGCTCGGCCTCTAACTTTATCTCTGGCGCGGCATCAGCGGAGCGGTCGAGCGAACGCAAAAGGGAGGTCCGTAAGAGTTGGAAGGACTTTCTATAGAAGTAGGAGGTAAACGATGTTGGTGATGGTGATGTTAGTGATGATGGCGATGGTAGTAGTGGTGATGGTAAAAGGGAAGGGCAGCGCAAAACGGAAGCTAGCCTCAATAAAACACTCGGCACAGCCAGAGCGCTCTTACGTTTACGTCTGCGTTTGCGCTCGTTTCTCCGCTCGCTAATCTGCATTTTAAATGTCCGCACCCTTTCTTTCTCTCTCTCTCTCTCCCCCTCTCTTTCCATCTTTCTCTCTCTCTCTCTCTCTCTCTCTCTCTCTCTCTCTTTCTCTTTTTCTCTTTTTGATTCTGTATCTCTCTTTTTCAAGTTCGTACCTACCGATAACAGTGAGGCCAGGCCCAGCACCCTCGACTCATGATGATACGAAATTCTCTCTCTTTCTCTTTCTCTTTCTATCTTTATTTATCTATCTTTTTCCATCCTTTTTGAAAGCACCGCTCGCCACTGTCTTGTCCGGATGCAACGGCGGATGCTTCGCGAGTACGTTGCCGTTTTCCTCGAGGAGATAAAAATATCTGCCACCTACCCTTGGAACGAGGCACCCTTCAGGCAGACGCGATTGTTGAACTCGCTGCCGCATAAACGAGAGCGTCCTGTCCACGCCAGACGTCCACGTGAATTCTTCTTCTTCTTCCTCTTCCTTTTCTCTCGCTCTTTCATTTTCTCGCTCTCTCTCTCTCTCTCTCTTTCTATATATATATACATATACCTCTTTCTCTCGTCGTACTATTGTTCCTTCGCTTTATCGTTGATTACGAGCGAAGATATTAATATCCCCGATCATAATTCTTCGACTAATTTCTCATCATTACGAGCCATTAAAACGATCTTCATCTAGGAACATCCTTCTGCTTACGAAGCGAACGACGTTTTTCTCAAGCGGACATCTTTATTGTCAGTTTCAGAAGGTTTAAGAGGAAAGTGTCGCGAAAAGGTTTTCGGTCGGGCGTTAGGAAAGCTTTCGTGGCTAGACAGAGTCTCTCCGGAAATGAGACGTCGCAGCTACGTGGAAGACATAAATCCCCATCTCCGGTGGCTCGACCTGAAGAAACCTTCGATTTTATGGTCGCCTCGGATTCAATGGAACAAGAGTTACGACGACGTACCGAATGCATCGTTGAAAGGGGGCACGGATGGCTGGCGCGCGAAGGAAGGGAGAATGGAGGGGGAAAGAGGGAGGGGGAGGAGGAGGAGGAAGAGAAGGAGGAGCAGTGAGGGTGTGGCGTGATTTCAGTGGGTGGTTTAGGGGAAGATAGTCAGGAACGAACGGGAAGATGAGTCAGAGACATTCGGCTCGTTGGCTAAATGGCAGAAGATCGTCCTGGCGGCTGCGAGCAAAAAGCTTCCAACTCCTTTCAATCTTCTCTTTCTTTGTCTATTTCTTTTTCTCCCTTTTTCTCTTTCTCTTTCTCTCTCTGTCTCTCTCTTTCCATCACCCTCTTTCTTTAATTCCGCGAGCGTGCATCGGCAACTTGCAAAAGCGTGGAGAGAAAGATAAAGGGGCCGTCTCCTGCCTTCTCTTTCTCTCTCTCTCTCTCTCTCTCTCTCTCTCTCTCTCTGCCTCTCTCTTTTAATCCTCGATAGTACGTGAGAATTCAAGAATCTTGCGAGTCCTACCTAGTAAATATCTTGTCTTGTGAGCGAAGAGAGATGCTTGTTTTTTGTTTTCTTTCTTTTCTCTTTCTTTTTTTTTTTTTCTTCTTTATTTCCTCCAATCTTAATAAGAAATTTCACTTTGTCAAAGAGAAGAAAGGAATGATTTTATTTCGACTTAAGGTCGAGAACGATCGCTTCATTACGTTCGATAACTGATTTCAATTGTTAAAATGTCCTTCGCACCTTGCAAGCTTTGTTCCCGCTTTGTTAACGCTTCGTTGCTTTATCGAAAAGCTTCGTTCTTCGTCGGATCTGTTCCGAGGTGTCGACTAATATCTAATATATATAACGTACATACTTACGCACAAGCATGTGGATAAAGAGAGAAACAAAACAAAACAAAAAAAAAAGAGAAAGAAAGAAAGAAAGAAAGAAAAAGAACAGAAAAATGAAAAAAAAGAAAAAACGAACGTGAAAGAATAAAGTTCCTCGTGAGAGAAAATGTACGGACTTATCACGGGATTCACTTGGAACTGGCGAGAAATCAAAGGGTGTTTCCTTCTTACTTCCTTCCTTCCTTCCTTCATACACCGTCCTATTCCTTTCTTTCTCTTTTTTTTTCTCTCTTCATCTCTTTTTTTCTCTCGAAGGCCTATCTTTCTCCTCCGGTGACTTGTGTCACGCGCGTGGCTGTCATGCTACTGGCACGCGGACAATGCCTTTTCGCGAGTGGCTGCACTATTCGCGAAAAAGGGACACAGCCGAGCGGAAAGCTAGTCACTCCCTTTTGTTTTCCAACTCTCTGTTGTGCATCTTTTCGTGAGTTCTAAGAAAGGATTCGTTCTTACATGGGTAGTCTGAACTTTGTGTACTCTCCTTTTCCTGTTTCCTGAGAACCAACTAATTACCAGTTTAAACTTCTTTAACGTGAAAGGATAAATCATTTGTTAAATTAAAAGACGTAAAAATTTGACTTAAAGCTTGGAATATTTGTAAAAGTTTACAAAAAAAAGTCCATATAAAAGATCGCATTATTTTTCCAAATGAAAATTCAATATTCATAATTTTTTCTCGACTTTTTCTCGAAAGAAAAAGAAAGAGAAGAAAATAATAAAAAGTAAGAAAAACATCGTACGAACAGATCGTAACTTCGTTCTTTTATTTTGTACGTTTAACATTACAACGACCAGCTAGGTAAATCGAATAAAACCAAGATTGCTATGTCTGGGAGTTTAGAGTAAAACTCCGTTTCGCAGTTGTCGGGGAAACAATTCGCTACCATCGTATCCATCAGTGCCAAGCGTACATTCTTGGAACATGTTCGTACGAAGTACACGTCTTTTACACGAGGAAACGTCCCTCATAGATAGGGATGCTGAGAACTAAGAGAGAGAGAGAGAGAGAGACAAAGAGAGAGAGAGAGAGAATGAAAGAGGAAGAAACCCGTGAGAGAAGGCGAATGCGACAATACTTTCAGTAACAGGAACTCGATCAGATAGGGATAGTACCTACGTAGGAACTTGATGCACAGAAGCTGTCTATCTGTCCAAGGCAGACAATACGAGATCCTACGACAGACGTAGCCAAACCGCGCCCCTTTCATGTACCACTGATTGATACCCTTGGTTCTGTCCGACGTGGGGACGTGAACGTAGTAATGTCGTCCTCGTCGCTAGTTTCCTACGGCCACATTATCAGCGCCAGATTCGAGATATACCGGCTAATGGAGTACGCGAATCACTTTACGCCACTGACAAACGTCAAGTGAAATTGTTCATGGGAGTTAGACGACGTATTCACTTATAGAACGACACCTAGAATATTAAGTCTCTTTTGCCTGTTAATACTTCAGAATTATTGTTGATATGATTTTAAATTAATTCACAATGAATTTATACGATCTATTTATCCTATTAATTTTTATTTGATCGTTTCACATTAATTCTGATGAAATAGATTTGAAAAGTATTACCATTTATATAAATTTATGATATTTTAATATGTTTAGAGACATAATTACATTGGTATATAATTTTTCAATTTGAACGTCATTTCGTAAACCGTATTTTCACGAAACATGATATAAGAATCAAAACGTAATCATTTCAAAGGACTACTACTGTTCGAAACCATTCGCGGATGTTACTGCGTTGAGAATTATTCATCACCTCTCGTTAGAGTGACGTTAGTGAAACGATCAAAGGGACATTCCTCGGAGGCAAGAATCTGTGGAATTGCTTCCCGACAAGCTGAGCGCGACGATTACGCGAGGAAATTAGCAGGTCGACTATGCCATAGCCAATGCCATTCTAACTGTACGATGAGGAAGACCTTGAAGCCTCGAGGGTGTGATTCGAAGTCGTTACGAAAAAGGAGAAAATTAAATCGTATATCTCATTGATCAAATTCATGATAGAAAGAGAAAAATCTAATAGTAAACAATAAATACATACATATATATATATATACATTTCTTTTTTATTTAAATAAATCATTTTTCTTTCTTATCTTATAACGTTTTACTCATACATTATATTAACTTTTGTACGTTTAATTATGATGATTCATCATTACGTATGCCGAACCACTTGAGAATCTATTATTTCACGACCATATATATCATTCATTGTTCGAATAAATTTCTTTTTATAAATATCGTTAATAACTATTGCCGATAATCTAGGTCGCCGTGTACGATTTTTATCAGCAAAGTCCACGCTGAATATACCGGATTTAACACTGTCAAGAAAAATTAATAGTTTGAGTTTTAATATAACTAGATTTAAAGTAATCGTTAAAGTTAAAAACACTCACGTATAACCCATCATCCATTCGAAACTGTCAATGAAAGAACGAATTAGATAGCCACGAATGTCGATACCATCTTTCATAGCTTTTAAAACTACAGATAAATGATCATGATGATAATTAGATCTAGCTATATCCTTGGCATTTCCATCGTCCATATATCCAATTTCGGTTATAATGATTGGTGGTAATTGATAGTTATTATCTATGCGATTCAAAATTTTCGCGAGTGTCGACGGATCAATCTGAATTAAATTAAAATATCGTATTTAAATAATGATTGGTAAAGGGGAAAAAAGAAAGAGAGAGAGAGAGAGAGAGAGAGAGAGAGAGAGAGAGAGAGACGAGACCTATTCAGTCGTACTTACTTTAACAGAATCTTCCTTTTGCATAGGTATCTCTGTTATTTGAGCATCATTTTGAAAGGATATCTCATTGGAATTTGGCTGGTTGCCACGTACTAAAGTATTTCTGCCGAAACTAATGCCAAGAAAATCAGCCGAGTTTTGGACCTGCTGAATTTCATAAAATTCGAAATTGGGCAAACGCGAATATAAATATCTCGAGACGTTATTATCGCTGATCATTTTCTTCATTAATTCTGGATAATCACCCTTTTCGCTAAATAATGGATTAAGGAACCATCCGTTCCACCATTGAAAAGCTCTTTCTGCAGCTAAATTATCATCAATTGATTTAGGATCCTTTGGTAGGAACCATTTTAAATTGAGAACGATACCTACTTTACCTAAAAATATAATATTTAACGAACGATAAAATAGAATAGATAAATTAACTGACTTACTTTAAAATAATCAACGTGTTTACTTGAATGACTAATGTCGGCGATAAGCATACGTTACAAAAAAATTTATTCCAACTAGACAGATAATAAGTTAATTTCTATCGTCTTACCGTTTTGTTTATTCTGATATTTATTTTGATAAATATCGTAAATTTCTCCATGAGCTAATAATAGATTATGACCACAAATATAATCAGCTCTTCCAGATAGATTTAATCCAGGTATCATAAGATCGCTGCCATATCCGTATTGACATAAGACGGATGGTTCGTTTATCGTTACCCAATATTTCACCTGAACCAAAGGAGAATAATTTAAAAATTCTTTTAAATAATTACGATTAACGAATGATGATCACGTTAAAAATAAAATCAATAGAGAATAATACGTACTTTGTCGCCAAACGAATCAAAAGCAATCATAGCGTATTGAACGAGAAAATCTATGATTAATGGATTTGACAATCCACCAATTTGTTGCAATGTATAAGGTAAATCCCAATGAAACAAAGTCACCATTGGTGTCATTCCATTCGCGATGATTTCATTGATGACACTTTCGTAATGTCGAATGCCATTTAAATTTACAGGACTGTGTAAACCGTTCGGCAAAATCCTTGGCCAAGATATTGAAATTTTATACATTTTACTCTAAAGCGAAAATAGAAAAAAAAAAGAAAGAAAAAGAAAAAAGAAAAAAACAACAATTAAATGATGCCACGAATAATTTGATTAATATTAATTACGAATATCACTCACGCCTATATCTTTAGCAAGTTTTATATCATTTTTGTAATGATGATAAGAATCAGCAGCAACGTCGGCGTTACTTCGATTATAAATAAAATTTTGATTAGGTAAATGTGTCATATGATCCCATATGGATTCTCCTTTGCCTATTTGTGAAATAAAAACGAATGATATATCACTTGGCATCGAATTTTATTTCTCATTAAAAAAAGGAATAAAGATTATTTTACCGTCTATATTCCAAGCACCCTCCGTTTGATAGGCCGACGTAGAAACACCAAAATTAAATTCATTTGGAAACATATCAACTGTTAAAGCGTTTACTAAATCTATTTGATAAGGCGAAAAAGTATGTTCCTTAATCATATTTGATTCAGACAAATCCGTGTCGTCATCGTTTATCGAAAAAAGCATTATTTTCGAAATTATATTAAATATTAAAAAATAATCTGTATCTTGAAAAGGCCACATTTTTTCAACCATACATTCGCAAGAAAAAAAAATAAAACGATCTATAGCCAGCAACGTTTCAATGTAAACTCATGGTACATTTTTTTCCGCATAAAGATAATGAAAAGTATTACGTTACTCTTTATCTTTTACTAATTACAGACTTGACCTTCTTCTTTACGATAAGAAAAAAAAAAAATATCAAACAACAAATTTGCTGTTTTAACTTAGCAACATAAACTATAGAAAATGTAGATATGCTATCATCGAGACATTCTATTCGAACCCTTCGTGGTATTGATCCGAGTCCTCGGTCTATTCCCTTTTATAAGGGAACAACTCTTTAGAACGATAGCCTACAACTAAGCGTAACCTTTGTTACGAACCCTTGTCAAGACGTGACTGATTATGGGCATCCTGTGGTTTAAACTGGTCGATCTTTAATTGTTAACACCGTACCGGAAGTTAAAAGGTATGCAATCGATATCCTTAACGATCGTTTAAAAGTACCAAATTTTATACTTTACAATTCGATACCGTAGATTTAATTATAAAATGATAGAATGAAAAACAAAGGAAAAGAACAAGAAAAATAAAAAGAGAGAGAGAGAGAAAAGAGTAAAACAACTTATATTTTATCGTACTTTTTTGATCATAGAGATACGCGTTGCTTTTTAACTCCACCATTTTTCACCGTTTTTTCTCCAAAACGAAAATAAATAGACGGATATTTGTAATCTTTTCGTTCGTGCGTTGAATTTGTTCTATGAAAAATAAAAGAGAAAAAAAGATAAAAATATAAAAAAAGGCAAAGAGAGAGGGCGGTGGGTGGTAGGTGAGTCGGCGGATGGGTGGGGTGGGGAGGGGTGAGGGGAAGGGAAAAAATGTGCAAGTTAACAACGATGCGACGCAACAACACGTAATGACACGTGATGGAAGATTTTCATTTATGCCGCTTTCAGCGACGCATGTTCCCGTTTTACACGGGGAATATTATGGAAATACGGGATGCTAGCCATCTAGTCATCTGATGGTACGTAGCCGTACCTCATATATCACTATCTGAAGTATCCGACATTATTCTCGCGTGCCATAAGCACGCAATATCCTGGCTCGTTCCTACAAAGTAAATAGGACTTTGTACGATCGATTTAAAATTCTCAATATAAATAAAGAATAATGGATTTCCATTTTGAACTTTCTCTGTATATCGTCAAAATAGATAAATTCGAATTTAATATTTTTATGTATATATATATATAAAAAAAAAAAAAAAAAAAAAAAAGAGAAGAAGAAAAAGAAAAAAAAATGTCGCGAATCACCGTCCCGATACTGTCAAACACGTTATAGGACAATGTCGATAATCCTTGTAAGATGTAGAGAAACATCTTAGTGTTTTCCTCGTGTAACCACGTTGCAATCGACCTTTTACACTTTTCGTTTCCCCTATGAACTTTTCTTTACCCAAAGTAACGTTGAAAGATTTCTTCAATACAGACGACTCGATGTAAGGATTTATCTGTAAACGTAATGAAATTGAAAAGGAAAAGCAGAAAAAAAAAAAAAAGGAAATGAACATATTCTATATTCCTAGGTAAAGTGCGCACTCTGATATCCTTGCTGGTGAGAGATGAAAGAAATGAAGGTAAAAAGAAAAAAAAAAGAAAAAAAAATAGAGATGAGAATGGAATCTTAAAAAAGAGAACACCTTACACAATAGTACTGGGGTCCAGGTATCTTCGTTCTTTTCTCCTTATCACGTCGTGAATACGATATCACACCTCCCTTGACTCCTTTTGATATGTCATACAGGATGGTATAATGTGTCGAAGCTAGGTACAAAAAGTATGAAAATCAAGGCATTGTCCTCGCTCGATATTGCTTCCTGCTTCGTGCAAGAAGAAGCGTGGTTGGACTGACAGAGTCCATGAATTAAGATGATAGGATGAATAATGGAGGAGTTATCGCGTCTAAGAAAATTATGCGATCCCACATCTTAGGATGTGGTTTTAAAATATCGTCGTAGGAACGACAGGGAGGAAAAGAAGAAAAACGAAGAGGAAAAAAGAAAATGAACAAAAAACAAAGAAGAAGAAGAAGAAGAAGAAAAAGGACGAAAAAGGGCTCGCAATAATCTTGTGTGCTCTTAAAATAATCATCAATATAATTTATACGAATATACGAATGACAGGAGGTACCTGGTACTGTCATATCGATTCCTTTGGTAATCTCGAGAACACGACGGGCACTCGAAAGGAAGGGTGGAGCCAAACGTCGGCAGAGGAAGTCGCATCGATCACGATTAGCCTTGAAGGAGGTTAAAGCTTCGTAAGCTCCAGGATCTGGCGCATCGATCTAAAAAAAAAAAAAAAAAAAAAAAAAAAAAGAAAAAAAAATAAAAAACAAGTAAAAAAGTAAAAAAAAAAACGAATAACAAGAAAAAAAAGTAGGAGAAAGAAGAAAGGACCAATCTAAAAGAGAGAGAGAGGGAGAGAGAGAGAGACTTTTTTCGCAGGTCGAATTTAAATTCAGGTCAGTTCTAAATTTATTATCTATTTATTAATTAACGAAGACAATTCGATCATATCGTCCGCCCAATTTGATTTTCTCGTCAGGTGATAGTCTCTTTTGACGAAAGACAAATACGAACACGGACGATGTTTCGAACAATCCGCAATTTGCGTTTTGCTGATAGACAGAGAAGAAAGAACGATAAAGAGAGAGAGAGAGATAGAGAGAGAGAGAGAGAGAGAGAGAGAGACCATTGCAGGGATTGGCTCGAATTTCCGGCTCGTTGAGCCGGAAGTGATTTCACCGGGCTACATCGGCAGCCACGCGGACTATGCGTAGAAATGACCCCTAGAGCACGTTGGAACGTCATTTCCGGGGGCTCGCAGAGTTACGACGCTTCCCTACGTTATGTAAATATGACTTCGTCGAAAGCGGGTCTGGTCATACTCGCGAATACCTCGCTCAAACGAAGACTAGAGAATTATGCGATTGGATGTCTCTCTTTGCTTCATCGTCCGTGCCATCATCCGTGTTCTAGATGTTTTTGTTTAACAATTCTCTCTCTCTCTCTCTCTCTCTCTCTCTTTCTTCCTCTGTCTCTCTTCCTTTGTCTCTCTTCCTCTGTCTCTCTCTCTCTCTTATCAATTATCTCTGACATCTGGTATTTGATATCTTATTGGATAGATCCTGATTAATATAAAGAAATATTTTCTATAAAATTAATCAAACGAAACAAATTTTTTCTTTTTTTTTTTTCTTTCTTTGATGAAATAATTTGATAAATATAGTTTAGAACAATCACGTTTGCGTATAGACTTAGATGAAAAATATTGTTCACGTTCGAATGTTTAGAATGTGATCGAAAACACGTTTCGTAGAAACAGGAAATAGGAAAAGTCCGAACAGCTTTGACCGTTCTAGGCAAGCCTATCTACGGTTGAACCGTCGAATATCGTCCCAACATATACTCTCTCTCCCTCTTTCTCTCTCTCTCTCTCTCTCTCTCTCTCTCTCTCTCGATTAACGGCTAAATTGGATCCTGGCTTCGAACCGCCTCGGGTACAGATGCAACGCTTCGATCCGTTGCCATTAATTTCGTCTCGGGTTCTCCTGATTACCTTGCGCTTTGAGGATTACCTGGCTCTATCCGAGTCTCCAGATTCCATCGAAAGAATCCTCGGTGTCACGTCTGACCACTGACTTAACCTTACTACTAAACTTACCTTTACGGAATTTCTCTACTTCGTTATGTTAAATCATTATCTACTGGAAATATCTATTAACATCTCTCAAGCGTAAACGTTTGACTTCATGAATGATTAAATGGATTATTTGAAATCGAATTAACCTTATATCGAAATAATTAATGTTAATATTATCTATAGGTCGTTTTTTTTTTTTTTACTATTAGAACGTATGAATGCTTACCCCTTTAACAACTCTACGAAATCTATCTGTTCTTGATTTAAAAACAGCATGATGTACGTAACTTCTCTCAGAAACTTTTTTTACTTCTTTATATTTGATTAATTTCTTCTTCCTATAAGGAGTCACGATCTTTTCCGATGTTGTACGACATATTGATCTTTCGTAATTATTTTTATAAAGTTTTGCAGATTCATAAGAAATATTTCCTACTACCACGTTATATTTATCGGGTGCTAGAATTATATTCGATTGAATTATAAATATTTTAAGATATTGAAATATCCGAGAATAGAAATCGTAACCTGGACTAATGTCATCAGCAATCTCTCTAAATCGAGAAACGAGACTTCCGAATGGCGCTCGACGTACGTGAGTGAAAGAACATTTTGGTTTATTGCTTTCGTACGTTCCTGGACCAGGAATATCGGTACACTCTCTATATTCAAATCTCTGTATCGAAATGAAATTGATGTGAAATGAAATGAAATATTTACGAGATTATTTTCTTTCTTTTTTTCTTTCTTTCTTTCTTTTTTTCTTTCCTGTTTTTTTATTACCTTTGCAGTTTGATAAAAAGATGGAGGTTCTAAGGTATACTTATCGCATTTACAATTGATCTTCTTATACCTTTCAAATGTGCTTTTAGGTGGATCGTAATGACTTGGACCTGGCAATCCCTACGAGAAAAGAAAAAAAGAAAAAATAAAAAATAAATAAATGCTCTTACTATCGTGTACGTCGAAGTAAAAGGAAAATGTTTAAGAAATAAATTTACTTCGCGTAATTTTCGACGATACATCGTTTCGATATAACGTGACTGTCTTGACGTAGCCCTTTTTATTTCCCTAAACTTTTCATCGTAAATTTGAGTTGGAGTTTTTTTCGTTTCGTGCTCATAGTCTCCTGGTCCTGGCGTAACGAAGGGTCTTTTCTCTTCTCTTCCAGTCATTCTACTCCAAAAGTTTCCTTTATATCTGATAGTAGTAAAATTTTCGTCCTGCGTATAAAAAATTTAATTGAGTTTATTTAATATTGATAACTTATTATCATTAAATTTTATAATGTAGAATCGTTATTACTCTTCTTGGTATATCATATATGAAAGATGGTTCATCTTCGATAGGTGAAATTTTCACAAGGATTCCGTACTCGTTAATATCATAACCATAAACGTCACGTTTGGAAGGTACCGATATTCCAGGAGTTATGATCGAACGTGGTGGTTTTATTAACCATAGCTGAAAAGAACATGACGGTGATAAATGACGAATATGAACGAATTAAAAACATTTTACTTTTCCAGGTGCTCCTTTCCAAGTGCCAGGATGAGATCTAATCTTTCCTGGTGGTTTTTTAAATAGATCATCTGGTAGAACGTATTCCGTTGGACCTGGTCCTTCGTAAATTTTCTCTTTTAATCTGGAATCGGTGTAATCGATACTGACACCTCCCTGAAATTTATAAAAGCCATTGAAAATGAATAAGATGAAATTGATATAGAAAATCGTTCAACGATTCTACGTTCTGGAATGTGCCGTTGTGGTTCAATTGGATCGTATGAACCAGGTCCTGGGAAAAGAATTGTGTCTCTCGATATAGTCAAAGTCTTTCTTTCTGTGCTATTTAAAAAAGGATATCGACAATCTGAAAGATGGTACGAATAATTTAACATTGAAATTTAATACCCTATGATAATTATATACCTAAATCTCTTGGTGGCCTTGATATAAATGATCCATCGTAAGTACCAGGACCGACATGTGCAGGAGTCTGTGTAATTAATTTTGAAAATCTTTTGGCCCTATCGTATGCCATAATTCCAATTTTTATGATACACACGACGTAACCTGCATAAAAATAATTTTTCATGGATAACAAGATAAAAACTCGATCGTAAATAGATTGTAACTAAATTTTGGAACAGTTGAGAATCGTGCATGATGTCAAATATCATGTATAGAGAATATCATGCGAAAGTAATAATTTAATAATTATATTTTCAACTAATTGAATTTTCGCAAACATCGCACGAGTTAAAAATATTTAGCGCCTGTCGATATGCAACCCACGATAGAAATCATAGAGATCTCATCTCAACAGAGGTCGCCAATGGTATTTCAGAGCAGAGAGTTTGTTTGGTCGATAATTGCAGATTATTCCTTTTCAGTATTTGTTATCTCGATCGACGAAAAAAAAAAAACCTTTTCATGGATAATATAATTAAAATGAATTTTTCAATGTGAATGAAATTTTATAAGTAATAAAAAATTAATGAATTGTCATTTATTTATATTCGTGACAATATCGACGGTAGTTTTAATACAGGTGTTCGAATTCAATGAGAGAATTTCGACCAATAAAAAGCAAGTATTTTTGCGCATGCGCCATTTCTTTTGTCCGTATGTCTAGGAAACGTGTATTAACACACCGCAACGTAGTGCTTTATTTCGACGTTGGTGCTTGTAATTTCTCTCGCGATATATTTTAAATAGTTTTTAATAAGATTTTAAAAAAGTATACTGTACGATGTCAAAGAACGAAGAAAAATTTGACGGAATGTTGCTGGCAATGGCCCAGCAGCATGAAGGTGGTGTACAAGATGTAAGTTACTTACGTTTTACCGGTTGAGGTTATGTCATTGTTGCAGCAACATCACTTTACTATTCTAAAATGTCTTTTCTTTCGTTACAAATTTCTCTTGATTTTCAGCTCTTAGATACGATCTTCAATTTTTTGGCAAGGAAAACAGATTTTTACACAGGAGGTGGTGAAGGTGCAGCCGAGAAGGTATTTCAATCATAATCAATTTTACCATCTCATTTTTTCGACCTTTCTAGAAGAAAGAATTTTATCGATATATCTATATTATTTTTAAAATATTATCTCGTGAAAAGTAATTAAGATCATATATTATTTATCGAAACAAAATGAACGACATGATATCGTATAATGTGAATTTTTCTAGCTTGTCACTGGGAAATTTAAAAAATACGAAGCCACTGCTTTGGCAAAAGCTGCTGCTGAGAAAGCTGAACGCGCAGAACAAGAAAGAAGACGCAAGGAAAGATTGGAGAAAAAGAAAAAGGAAGAAGAGAAAAACGAAGAGGAACAAATGGATACGGATTCTAGAATAGTGGAATTAACCGATGAGCAGGCAGCTAAGTTACAAGAAGAGATAGATAATAAAGTAAGTATTTGATTATTTTTTTTTTTTTTTTTTTTTTTAATATATACATAATATATACATAATATATACATAAATGTTAGAATCAATATGGCTGACAATGATTGTTCTTCCTATAGAAATTATCTAAAGAAGCAGCTGCTGTTCCTGGACCTAGTGGTGATAATGCCGATGGTGAATTGAAGAATGATAATGCAGAAGTAGACGACGAAGAAGAGGATGAGAAAGAAAAAAATAAATTAAGGCCTAATAGCGGCAATGGTGCAGACATGCCAAATTACAGATGGACGCAGACTCTTCAAGAAGTCGAGGTAAGTTTTTGTACGAATTAAAATTATTTTAATACATTTGGATTTTTTTTTCTTTTCTTTTGTTTTTAAACACATAAGAATTTTATTTACTATATAGCTTTATTCACAACGAAACGTATTTACTTACCCTATAATCGGAGAACGATTGATTATCCTAATGTGTATTCGTTCGGAAGGAAATGGGGCGGGGTGGGGTGATATAAAGGATATAAATAAAAAATGCAATGCAATAGATTTCGAC